CGTCACGCCACCCCCGTCGCCTGCCCCTCGGCTGGAACGCAGCGCTCAGGCTCCCGGCGTCCGCTCCCGCTGTCCTGCACCTCCGTCCAGTTCGCGGCTGCGGGGAGCGAAGCCATCGCGGTGGGTCTGCAGCCCCGGGTCCCTCGACTCACCCACCGCCAGCCCGGGCCGACTCCCACGAAGTTCTTCTTTGCCTCTTGCCTGCTTTGCTGCGGAGCGGACCTTAGCCCCGCCCGGAAGCGAAATAGGGACGGTATCACAGCCCTCGCTGGTGAAGCGATGCTCTCAACCCGCAGGTGATGGGGAGCAAGGGCGGCACTTTCTCCGAGGAGTTTGCTAATCTAGCAGGCAGGAAGGATGAAATGGCCGGAAAGAAAGGTGTTAGGGGCAGTCACTAGCGGAGAAGCCCGGCGCGGTCCCTGCGCGAGTTCCGGGCGCCAGCTGGAACACCGAGGCTCAGGCGCCGCCGCGAGCTTTACGGTCTCTTATAGTCCCTGCTGCGGTGACGCTGTGGGGGCCGCGGCACTGACGAACCCCTTCGTGGGCTACCATTGTGCTGCTTTCTTTCACCCCGCCCTTCGGATTTCATTCACTAGCTCCTCGTGGGAGCTTGGCGGGTGGATACTTTCTAGAAGGGCTGCACTTTCTCAGATGCAATTAAAATCTTTACAAGATTGTTTTCCCTTTTTCAACGTCAAGATATTTTGCTGAGGTCCCTGCTCTCAGACATTTATTGTGAGCTGTTCTTTTCTAAACCAATTAAACCATTCACCTGTAAGTCATGATCCCAGGAGATTTTTCGAAAATAGAATGTGAGGACTCTGCGCACCGTGTGCCTCGCGCTTTATTTAGGTGTCACTGGCTTTTGGAATTTCACTCAACTTACTGCTTGTGTGTTTCTGTCCTCGCTTTTCAGATGCCGTTTCCTCTTGCTCCCACTTCCAGAATCCACCCATCTTCCCTCTTCCTCTAATCTCTGTCACCAGGAAGGAGTCCCCTCGGCTCCGCTTATCCCCAGGTAGAGGGAGACTGGTTTTTCATGGAGGATTCTGCTCAGGTTGGAATGACCTAACACACTGAGGGTAAACCAGAAATCCCAAGATGTAGCTGTTTCTTAAAACATGGTGACGAGACTCGAATTTCCTCACTTCCCTGGGATAATTGTATTCTGTAAACAATCTAAATACATACACATAGCTATACGGTTTTGGACATTTGGAACCTTGGATTTCACAGTCTGATCGTGAGGAAACACAGATGAAAATAACCTTAATTTCCTGGGCAGACAGGCCGGCCTGACTTGTGAGTTTTGGATTAGAGCAGGTGAGGTAGGGTGTCCAGTGAATTACAAGCTGGAGAAAGTAGTCTGTGCTTAGATGGACCTCACCGGCAACATAGCAGTATGTTCTAGAGCCAAGACTCGGTTTTATTAGTCTCTTGCGGGCAGGTGAGAAGGGATTTAGGGTTACACATATGTTAGCAACCCCCCCAAAACACTCGAACGCTCCGAGCCTTGATTTCTTCGCTTAAAAATGAAGATTAAAAAAAATCTAGTTTTTATTTTTTCATTTTTTTTAGATTCCACATATGAGCGATCTCATATGGTATTTTTCTTTCTCTTTCTGGCTTACTTCACTAAGCATAAATACAAAACAGAAATAGACTCACAGACATAGAATACAAACTTGTGGTTGCCAAGGAGGTGGGGGGTGGGTGGGAAGAGATAGACTGGGATTTCAAAATTGTAGAATAGATAAACAAGATTATACCGTATAGCACAGGGAAATATATACAAGATCTTATGGTTGCTCACAGAGAAAAAAATGCGACAATGAATATGTGTATGTTCATGTATAACTGAAAAATTGTGCTCTACACTGGAATTTGACACAACATTGTAAAATGATTATAAATCAATAGAAAATGTTTTTAAAAAATCT